AGCAGTTTACGGTAGTCGCGAAATTCTATGGAAATTCGGTATGCACTAAAATTAGTAAGAATAAAGGTAGAATAATATGCAACTTACAAGTTTTTCTTCCCCAGTACCAATCTCTCGCGAATTTCCTTGATACATACATTATCTGAGGAATTTTTTTGCATTAATTTACGTAATCCAGCGCAGATCGAGACGATTGACATATTGACAGTTTTCACTCCCACATCTCGTTTAAAATTGGTTTCAACATAAGAACATGAGATCGTGGGTAAAATGGATGTCTACAGTCGCGAAATTGTTTTCCAAAAAATTATGGTGGCTCTAAGACCATTCAACATTTTTTAAAATTTTTTTTGATCCATTGAATCTTGGCATGCTGATTACACTGAAAGGTAAAGTTGTGTTTTAACGGGTCACATCGTTGCCGTGGTAACCTGTAACGTCAGAAATGATCAATCGTTGAACAATACTGTACCATCAATCAAAACAGAATGGTACAGGAGGACTAAAAATGCAGCATTCCCCATTTTCCTTTGGCTCGATTTCCAGCCGTTTTGTGAGCCCGAGTGCCTTGCCCCACACCAGGAGGATAAACAACCGGACTCCCAAAACGGCTGGAAACCGAGCCTATCATTTTCCCGAACTGTCACTCATTACTACACTGACGCGAAACTCTGAAAAAACTGTCAGTCCAGGTATTTTAATATTAGAATTTTATTTTTATATCGTAATCATCCAACCCAACTTGAGATACCTATTTTGGAACTTGAACAACGTACGAGACAGTTTTAGAGAAGCAAAAAAGAATCAAAGTTTATGAAGAATTGGTTACCCCTTTCAAATTGCTGTGCGTCAATTAATAAAGGAATTTAATTCCCCAATCACACCCTAAAACATGTATAGGAAAGTTACAAGATCCAATAGCTTTAGAATTTCCATGAAAGGTTTGTAAACAAAGCGGTGTTTAACTAGACATTTAATCATGTTCAAAACCTACTCTATGGAAACCGAGGTTATGTACGACTGCATATAGAAGGCATCTGAACATTCTTCACTGTTAATAGGTGAAATGGGTGTAATGTTCAAGGAGGAATTAGTTTTCAAAAACTGCAAAATGTCTGCCTAGCAAAAGGAAGTTTTCCGAGTGAATTGTCCCAATTCACCCTAGTTGCTTTTTACTAACAGAACAGGGCGTTGTCTTATTACTTCAGGAGACACTGTTCAAGGAAGGTGTCACAAAGCTACAATTCTCAGCGTATTAAAGCCAACCACGGGCAATTATTGCGTTTTCTGGACGATTATAGTTCACCGGTCATGGTTACCACAGGCATCACTTTTCATAATTCCCTGCCTTTTTTATGATAAAAATAAGATTTCCCTGACCAAAATGCCAGATCTAGTAGCGGCGTCTGGCGTCAACTTACAGCCATCCTTTCCACTCGTTCATTAAGACTAATATGTATTCAACAGACCCAAATGTTTCTTTCAGGTATTAAAATGGCATTAAAATCAGCTGTGTTAAATTATTTCAATTTTCCATGACTCAAAATAAAATTCCCTGACTTTTCCCTGACCTTGAAGAATTTTTTCCTCTCACCATTTCCTGACCTGTGGCAACCCTGCCAGTACATTTCACGTAATTGTTCTCAGCCAGAACCGTTCACGCGGTACGATTTCGGGCTGGCACTACCAGAACATAATGCCCGCTAAGTGAAGTATCTACCAGAGCAACTTGTCCCTGCAGTTTTCAAGTGGAGATGAAAGACTCGCTCTCCCATGTGAAGTTCGATCCTCAAACTCATTAATAATTTATCAAGTTTAAACAAACGAAATCATGACCGTGACGATATTTGGATATCTGATCTTAATTAGCATAGATTTTGTACGATTTTATTTCCCCGTTTAAACACTCAATATCAAACACTCAAGACCGTGTTTGACCACATTTCGAAACACCTCGACGTTAGTCAAAAATACTCCGCTACGCGTCGCAACTTTAACTCTCTTCTCAGTGTTTAGAAAAGAGGAGAAACATGGTCTTTCCTGTTTGATGTATTTCTTACAAAATAGCACGAAAAAGTGGTTTTTAGGATGAAAAAAGGTTAAAACAAATAAACGGATGTGATGCAGTTAGAGGTTATGGAGAAAAGCTTAGTTTTAGTGTTTATCTCAGAGGCCTACGAGATGGAGGATTGGGGCAGGAATTTCAGTGGGGTTGGGGGACTGGGGGAGGAATTTTGATCGGGTTGGGAAGTGGGGCAGGAATTGTGACAGGTTTATAAACTTGTTTTGAGGCTTAATGGCATTTGAAGCACCAGTATAAAAGAGTTGAAAGGATAAAGCTGAAAGGGCACCCCTTCCGTTAACAAATTTATAAACTGTATTTAGAAAATCATTCGTAAGTATACTTACACAAAACGGATATAAATACGATTTTGCACTGTAAGCTATATTTACTATTGATGAAAAATAAAACTCAATATTCTTGGTATTATTCTCAAACTTTCCTGGTTCATTGACATACTTTGATAGAATAATATAACCTAATTATAAATAAATAATAAAATAAACAACTGAACTACATTTTACATAGTGGAAACATCCAGCACACTAGCTTCTGTGCTTCCAGAATAAATGTCCTCCAAATGAGTCACTTGAACAGGAAAACGTCTCAGTCAACGGTAGCCCAGTAACTGAAGGCCACGTTCTGTTATCGCAGACTTCATTTACAAGAAGAACAGACGATCAGAAAGATCATGTGAAGGTTCATTGTGGATGTTCTGGCCAACCAAGTACGCTAACTTGTGGGCATACTACAAAACCAAACAAATAAACAAACAAATATTTACTACTGGCCAGAGTCTACTGTCCACACTTATATTCTAGAATATGTAACACAGACATTCCAGGGTTTGAGTGCATTGTTTCAGCAGTTTAAGGGGGCAGTCACTTTCGGAATTTTCCACAACTACTATCTGGTGTAAAATAAAGCTTTAAAAGGTAATCCAATTCGCTCCAATCNCTTCTCGGTCCGTACTGTAAGTTATGGTCATCGCTTTTTCCCCATCGATTTATGGCCCGCGCACTTCACGTTTGGGCCATCAATCGATATGGGGGAAAAAACCAGGTCTGTAACTTACAGTACAGCCCTCGAACTCGGTTAGTAAGAGGTATATATCTACATCTTAATATGTACAACACACAACACGACAACAGAACACTAACGAAATTAGAGAGAGAACACACAGCAACCAGAAAAAAGCAGATCAATTGTTCCTGAGATATAAAGAACACATTCTACAAGAACAAGCAATAGTTAACACACCTGACATGGAGCAGGCACTCTTACTGTACCAGGCCAATTGTAATAGAGGTGAGTCAACTTGTAAGCCAACCTGCCAAATGAAAACACCAAGGTTCATTTTATTTCAGGTTTTACGGGGATTGCATTGCAGTCTGTAGCTTTTAGCGCATGGTAAGACAGTTGCATACCTTTGCATGTAGTCAGGTTTGAGCTCTGATTTGTCATGCACAACGATGTAGTGGGTTGGAGTCACTGTGCCCTGACGAACATGTTGGCTGATCAGGTAGAAGTCGTACCTGCAAATACAACACAAAATATCAGTGCTAATAATGGCTCAAATCACTAAACATTTTATAGTAGTTACCACAATAAATATTTTCCACGCGTTTTTTTTCCGTTCTTTAATTTTACTTTGACCATTTTGTTGAAATGTCCCCAAACAGTGCTGGAAATGCATTAGGATCTGGATTCATGACACTTAAATAGAGGTTCTTACTTTTCAATTCTGACAAGAGGTATATTCTTTTTCAACAGAGCATCCTAGATAGGTAGGAGGTGTTCCCTCCAGTACAGGTATCATATTTCTCTATATAGAAGCTATATACAACATTTTTCATTGTTGTCCTAGCATGTAAGGCCAGTTCTGTTCAAGACTTTATTGCTTGTTTAGTGCAAGAATTCAATGGCAAAAATCGCTTAGCACTGTCTTCCAGGATAACGGTAGTTTTTAGAGACGTTTAAAAACTAGAACACTGTTGATGGTGACCTACCAGTCCTTCCTAGTAATAGTATGATCCAGTACTGTACCAGGGCCAGGGTTATCCAGTTTAGGCATTGGGCCACCTCCCTTTGACAATAACAGCATTATTAAGAAGGAATCCACCAGAAGTTTCAGTAACAAGTGGACAAAAAGCTTTGCACCAAGATTAGTTACACTGTATTACAAACTTCTGTGCGACTGCTTTAAATATCTCTTCAAAAGAAATCGTTTCTAACAACACCAATTGCCCAAAACAAATTTTGAAGTGCAAATAAAACACTTGAAGAGGCAATGAAAACAAAATTAAATGGTTGTTCTTATGTACCGGGAAATTTTGTCTTCAACAATTTTAAGAGTCACACACCCAGCACTACTAAACAGCGCATTTTGCTGATCACCAGTGCTCACAGAGAACCCTGGCCAATACAACAAAGAATAAACTGTGATTGTGGTGTATTTTAGATTGGTAGGTTAGCTGTGAAAACGACGACTGACCTGGGATGCAAAGATTCTTGCATTGATTCTCTTTGACACAATAACCACAGCCATCTTGGGCTCATACTTCTCACCAAACAAAGTGAAACACTCTGACAGCTGTTGCACTTCATAACCAGCAACAGTTCTTAGCTGCCCATCACCAACACCATCACGNCTGATCTGGGTATCATTAGAAAGATCTTTTCCTCCTGCAGAAGTTGAGCATAGATGATGCCAATTTTGGTGAAAGGTGATGACATCAGAAGTGGGAGAAAGGCCAAGGCTCATCATGGCCGGTTACAGCCGGCACAGGAGTCAATGGGTTAACAATAATATTATTTTGGACTTACCCTCTGTATTTCCTTGTCCTTTGGTCTGTGTATAAGTAATGGCTGCTCCAGATCTTGCAGATCTGCGTTATAGACTTTTCTAAACATCAAATATACATTGCAAAATTAGAAACTAGGTTCACAATAAGTCTGGCATCTGTGCATCCTGTCAAGAGTGGGGCCCAAAAGCCATAACAGGGCCTGACCAGCTGAAGGAATATAGTGCAGACCTTACGCATTGCATGACATGAAAAGGAAAGATGATGAGAGGCATAAGTACTGTAGCCCATAAAGAAGCTTTTTGTTTACTATTATATAATGAACAGATGACACTTTATTCAGTTCTATGTTGAATGAGAATGTATATACCTGATCATCAACCAACAACTGAATGCACAACAACAGTGGAAAATGTCTGTAAGCTACTTCACCAGCTATTTTTAGTCAGTCACTTATGAACCTTACTTTAAAATGACCCCATAAGGGACACCTTAGGGTCCACATTGGAGTGACCCATTACTGTAGATAACAAAGGTAATTTAGGGTAAATGAATGTGTTACCGCCATACTTGTAATAATCCACATAGGACATCTGCTCTCCATTGTGAAAAGGAAATGTGCATCTTGGGTTCTGATCAAAGGCCACATCATCAATTCTGTAAGTCTTATTATTGTACCTGTTGAGTTTTAAAAATGCAACGGATTTGATATAAGTCAAAAGCACCGGGTTCCATTCATAACTGAAAGCTGAAGGTTGAGAATGTTGATAGGAATTCATAGTTGTGGTATGTACTATTGTAGTTCCTTTTAGTTCTATCACTAGCATGAGCATGTTTGTGACAAAAGGAATCTAATGCTCAAATTGAGTCCTAAACACTGATAACAAAATAATATGAAATAAATAGGTCTTTTTATTTTAGAGTTTAATCAATATAAATTTGAGTGCTAATGCCAACACAGCCATTCCCAGTGCCATTTAGGCTAGCTACCTCCAAACAGAAAAGCAAACATACACAGAAAATAAAGTGCTGTTACCAACCTTGTCAAAACAATATTTCCTACTAGTTGCTTTTTGCATTCTTCTTCAAACCGATCTCTTCTCTTTGAGTACAACTCATTCCTGGCAAAAAGAAAACCAGAAGATATGAGGAAAAAAGGCACAGGGATGGAGCTAAATCACTGCGAAAAGAATCTTTCAAGTACATAATACCACTGAAACTAAACTGTTTACATCAACACCAAAATAAAGTTCATAGAGTAATAATGACAGCACAAGAGTACTATCCACAGCCCTCTCCCAGCCCCCCNAAAAAAAAGAAAAACAAAACATGAATTTGAGTTTGCCCTTGGGACAAGTGCTCACAAATTTTGCTTGCCCTGGGCAAGTCTTAGTTTGCTCTTTTCATGATTTAGTTGGCAGACAACTTGCCTGATGCCTTGCACATCAGGCAAGTGAGAATGAAAAGTTACTTGCCCAACAGGAAAATCTATTTGTCCCAGACGACCAGACAGCACTTTTTTCAAGCCCTGGTTCACAAAAAACAGTACCAAGACAGTCAATAACTGGACTATGCCACTTAACAGCTGAAGAACGTGTTCAGCATAAAGTGCAGTGTTGCTATAATTAACATACACCTTAAAAGAAACTTACATGAAAGCATAACATGTCTCTGTCCTGAGAAGCCTGTGTGACACATCACACAAGAGCATCATTCCACCTATTAAGAAACAGTTCAGTCATTTGTAAGTAATGAAGAAAATACAACATAATTTCTGAACTTGTTTGACCATACTAGTAATTTAATTAACGCATACCCTCATAGCATTGAATAGAAGTGATGTAGCCTGGCCAAAGTTCAATCTTATGTTGCGGAATGCTGGCTGGCCTTTTGGGATCGTAGTAATATCGGCCCACTTGTGTTAGCTGAAGTTGCTTCATAACTCTGAAACAAAAAAAAAATCTCAAAGTCACATAGTTATATGACTGGTCCACAATAAAGCACATCACAACTAAGCAACATGAGCACTTCATTAGACTCTTTCATGACCTGTTGCATTGCAAAACTACCGAACTGGTGCATTTCAGAATATAGCGCTGGTATTCTCCCAGGCTGCTCCTGAACAAGCTTGGTTAAAAAGAGACTAAAAACAAAACTGAANATGATGAGGTTATATGAGAATAAATTTTCCTTAGCAACGGCTCGAAAAGATCGGTTAATGGGCCCTTAACACAGGGACAAATATTGCAAAAGTATCCTAGGCTTGTACTTTATGGGCTGCATAAGGTTCACATGGTATTGTAACAAAATGTACAGCCATCATCTTTTTTCCTATGGAGGATGTTTTGGACTTTGAATGTGAAAGTTTGTGTTATGGTCCAGATGATGAACTTAAAATGATTATGGACGAATCATCAAACATCTGATACCAAATCAAATCAAGTTTTTTTAATCCCATGTCCACACTTGTATGCAAACCAATGGCAGTTCAATCCTCTATAAAATGATCAGATCTGTGATCTTGCTGTTAAGAATAGAAGCATCTACTTACAGGTTTTTCTAATTCTTTGGGTAGAAAAAGAATGGATCCATCAAAGGCACTAGCTGGCCCTAGAATATCACTGTGGCTCTTAAGAAGGCCATGTCTTGCTTTTCTGCTGTCAATCTCAGGACTGTGGATCAAAGGGTGGCATACGTAAAAGAGTAACAATGTTTCACTGTGTAGTATACACACTCACTATGCTGTGCAATTACTGACACAGTGCTCTCATAAGCAGTCAATTTGGCAAGATATATGAAGTAAACTATCCATTGATAAGGGATGTTTAACCTTGTAAAATGCCGATCTGAATCTGATTCTATTACATGGCACCCATGCCTTATGATTGAAGAGCACAAAATGTATTCTTACCTGTATGTGACATGGTATTGATATATCTTTTGTTCTATAAATCTGATTGGGATGAAGTTTGCACTCAGAGACATCCTAGAAAGGTACAAAGACACAAATAGTACACCACATGAATCCAACTTGACTTAAACCAAGTGCAAATAAAACTAAAACTAAAAAGACTAGAGTAAAACTAAACTAAACTAAAACATAAATTTGCCAAAAAAAGGTTTATTTTGGCAAAAACACTTTGGGTGTTTATCAGCCATCACAACTTGTAAATTACCTATTTGTAAGTAAGGAATGACTTGGAAATGAAATAAAAGATGCTCTTTACCACAGCTGGATATGGTCTTTTCAAATCTCCATTTTGGCCAGACAAGTTACTACTTTGGTCAGACATCAGTTACATAATTTGCATACACAAATAATCTGACGACTCAATTCATAGGCATGTATGTTTAGCAATAAATTATGGAGTGACTGCAAAACTCTGGCGAGTCAAGGAAAACAAACCATGGATCCGTATGAGTTGCAAGCTGTAAAGGTTTCACAGCAAACATGGTCTGCCAACAAGAGCTTCAAGACTAAAAGCTAAGTCATTTTGGTGTTCAAATGTGATGTCAGATCATAATGTAAAATGATTCGACAATTTCACAAATCTGGTCGGACAATGTCAAATGACCAACTGTTATTTCCAGCACTGCGTAACTGAATGTTAGGGACTTACAGCACAATAGCAACATATCTGAACAGGGCTTTAATATCAGAATAAGAGTAACTGCCCAATAACAACCTGTTCACAGAGCTTATAGTTACTTTGGTAATTAACTTACTTTTTTCCAGCAGATCCTTTTTCGCCTGTTTGACTGGAAAAAGAAAGAAAGAAAGACATGAGAAATAAAAAGGTAGCTCTATTGAAAGAAAGCAGTGCTGGTCTGTTTTGGTTAATTTTGAAATGAATTACATAACAAATATATTGCAGAAAATCCCCAGTCACTGCCTTCAACAACTTTATAACTCCACAAACCAAGTTTTGGAAATGTTAAAGTTAAAATGATCAGTCTCATCATATCAAATGATCTAGACTGAAAGAGATAACTGTATTTATGTAGCAAGAGGAAAAATTGAACCCCATCACTGAGTACTCTAGAGGCACAGAGTGTCTCTTGCTTTTCTTTCTCACATGCAAAATAAACCGTTCAGGAGTCAGAACTCCAGAAACTCTACATGTTCACCTTCCTTGATATTCCTATTTACAATGTATCTAATCAAGCCAGAAACAGGATGAACAGCTGGCCAGCAAAAATTCCTAAGTAATAAATAACCGCATATATATTTCATTTTGGCTAATGAGGTGAGTGCAAATAAAATTAATTAAGCGTACGTCTTAGGAATGTTTTCCGCTACTGATACTCTCACTCTGGACATCTGCTCTACTGGAACCTGTAATGTTCAACAGGAGATGACAATATTTATTATTAAAAATACCTGACTGTATAAGGAGCAAGGAAATGGTCTTGTTCAAACAGCATCTAAATATTGAAGCAACTGGTATAGAACAATGTACCTGAGGGCCGCTTGGCTGTGCTTGTGGAGGTGAGGGATGTTCTCCTGATGGAACTGATGGCTGAGAAGTAGAGGGTGGTGGAATAGCAGGCTGTGGTTGAGGTTGAGGAGCATCACCTGTTGCTGCACCTCGTCCATAAGGAGTCTGCATAGATGATGATGGGCCTCCTCTGCCATAAAATCCAGCCATCTGAGCCCCTATACAGGTAAAAAAAAACCATCATTATTTTGGACAATATCCTGTGACTGACTAGATATCAAATCAGTGGTTCTTGTTCACATTTGTGAGCTCCAATAAGTAGAAATCTCTTTCAAGTGGACACTGCCATGTGGTGCAAAGGGTGGTTATCTGCAGTATTGACCAGAAAAACTACTAGTTACTTGCTTGAAAAGAATAAATGCTACTGATATATACAAACCCCTTCCATGTGGTGCTGATTGAGGCTGAGGCGGAGTCACAGCAGATGGCTGCTCATGAGATGGTGCTTGACCACCATAAGTTGGCCCTCCACGTCCATACATTTGACCACGACCAGCTATAAGCAAGAAAAACAAACAAACAAACAAACAACACCAATTTAAAAAGTGTCTATTTTCTGGAGGAGAAATAGAGATCATTAAAAAGAAAAAATACTTAACACCCTTTATTTACTCTCTTCTAACATGCCACTTTGCAACTTTAGAGGTGTACACATTTGACAACCAAACAAATTGACAACTAATTCAACAGACATTCCATTCTCATTAATGTCACCCCTACAAAGAACCAATCGTACCTGGCTCCTGTTGATATCGCTGAGGCATTTGCTGTCGATTTTGCTGCTGTGGTGGGTGTTGCTGTTGCTGATGAAACTGGGGGGGCTGCTGGTGAGGTTGCTGTTGCCGTTGATAGGGCTGCTGTTGTGGATAAGACTGTTGTTGCTGATAAGGTTGTTGTTGTCGATAGGGCTGCTGTTGATAAGCCCCTGGCTGTTGTTGTTGTTGGTTATAAGGCCGTGGCTGTTGCTGATAGGGGTGTTGTTGCTGTTGCTGATAAGGCCCTGACTGTTGTTGTTGTTGTTGATAGGGCCCTGGCCATTGTTGTTGTTGATAAGACCCCGACAGTGGCTGCTGCTGATAAGGCCCTGACTGTTGCTGTGGTTGATAAGGCCGCGATTGTTGTTGTTGATAAGGCCGCGGCTGTTGTTGATACTGTTGTTGCTGTTGATAGGACCCTGGCTGTTGTTGTCCATAAGGCTGTTGTTGTTGATAAGGTTGCTGTTGACGATATGGTGGCTGCTGTTGTTGATAAGGCTGTTGCCGTTGGTAGCCTGGTCCTTGCTGCTGTTGATAGTGCTGTGGGTATGGTTGCCGCTGACCATACTGAGCGGGTCCTGGTTGGGGAGGCCCTTGGTGAGGAGGCTGTTGAGGGGGTTGCCCTTGACCATTCTGTAAATAAAATAGATAGGCACATCATGATCACAGTTCCACCTCTATGGAAGGACACCTTACGAAAGTGAAAGCAAACCCCTTCCCCTTCACTCCCTAAGAGTGCCATTTGGCACACGATGTCATAACTATGTGAATATTTGAGAGATTTCTATGAATTTTTGCCACGAACATTGTCTTGTAAAGATCTGCTCATTGAAGGCATAAAATTGTGATCCTCTCCCATCTAAGACATGATTCGCCACCCCCGCAAGTTTCCAATTTCTTTTCAAGCTCTGTACTAGGACCTACTAAATAAGCTATAGTTCAGGGGTATACCTATGATATTTGAGAGTTGATACGCATTGGAAGTTTTTCAGTTTCACAGTTCAAAGCATTTCTCTCAAAATGACTATCTCCTTCATAGCTGATGATGTCAGTTCTTAACTAAGCT